ATATCTGGTAACGACCCAAGAACAGATTGCATCTTCATGCCTCTGTACACTGGGGCAGAAGCAGGATTACACAGGCAACATTCACACTGGTATGCCATAACTGCTCTGCAGTTATAAACACTTGACTTAGCAGCCGTAAGAATGTTCCTTCAGTGCCTAGCTTGCTTGTAATTCCCTAGCTTTTTACCAAAGCAAGCTAAAAAGAGCAAAATGTCTTTCAAGGAGTATCGTTACCATTATTCAATTCACCAGCAGAATGAACTTCTATGTTCAGCTCACAAGCCCCTACCACTTGAACTGACTGATACCATGAGCAGCGTGTGTGATGTCCCATATGGACCAGTGACAGATGCTTGGCCAGTCGTATTCACAGCTACCTGCTGGCACCAGAATAAAAGCGAGTCTTGACCCACCTCAGGCCTAAGGGAGATGCTGCTCAGCAGTCACGTCCCGCAATGCCCGCTTTCCCCACACAGAACAGCTCCTGACCCATATGCACCACCCCCCACTTTCCCAAGTCCTGCTGCTCCTCCTCTCACTCTACACAAATGACAGACTCCTTGTTGTGCCTCCTTGCTCAGACAAATCTTAACCTCCTGGTGAGACTTTATAGAGTAGAAATCCAATGACCACATATAAAGATCTGGCCTCTGGCTTCCCAAAACACATGTAAAGAGTACTCTGGAAGCATCATTATACTCTTGGATTATTCTTCAACTTTCCTCGACAACTGCTTTGACCACTGTCTGAGTCAGGATACTGGCCCAGATGCACCTTGATCTAATCTAACACAGTTGCTCTTAGACCTAAACTCCAGACTTGTGCATCTCTGCACCTAGCTCCTCTTTGCCCAACCCGCGACAGTTCTGTCCTCCTCACCAACCTCACTCCCAGATGAAATAAGACTTAAGCCAATAGTATCAATCAAGTCCCTGCTGACCACATGCAAACTCCAACTTCTTTTCAAAGGTTTGGAATTTGGTCAAATACATTTAGATTATTCATTGGGATGGAAGGGGGAGGGAAATCACCTCTGACCTAGGTATTCACTCTTGAAAAGCTTCACACACACACACACCCCAGCTCTACAACACCAGAACTTTGAAGAACAGGTTAAACATACTTTTAAATAGTTTACGTGAAGAAAATGGCATTTTTCTCACAGTTCCTCACAGCAAAGACCAAAGAAGGGAGATCATCGTGTCCAGAACACACTGCCTAAAACAGATGCCTGGAAAATAAACTGTCATCCCAAACAGTTATGAAGTTTAGCAGAGTTATAAGCAATTGAGCTGTCTTAAAAGGCATAGATGACAAAGGCATAAAACAGAAAGCATTATGCCATCTGCACCTACTCCCGCTGTAACTCACACTCACGTGTACAAACTCACCCAGCATAGGACAACAGCATGCCCAAACCATCACTCTGAAGAAATGGAAACACTCAAGGGAGCAGTGGTTAAACATCTTGCTTTCCCAAATTTTCCATTAAAAATCTCTCTCTCAAACAAAAACAGGGAAATCATGACCCTGCTTTCCCTTCTGTTAAATATTTACATTTAGCAAAAATGCAAAAGATGCTTTGTTTCGGGGGATAGGGGAAGGTTTTAATGGTTAAGTGAAAATTTTGAGTTTGCAAAATGTTTGTCCCCTGAGTAAATATCCATCACATTAAGCAAATTATCAAAGCTGATAAAAATGGCAATTATATTTCCCAAGAAGCAGGGGGGGAGTTTGGGGGAGTTGTGTAATTACTTTGTTCAAGATGATCCAAAATCCCTCTTATTTTTGGTCAAAAAAACAAAAGTAAACCTTTTCAGGGAATTATGATGTCCTACCATCCCCAAGCTTCACAGAGAAAAAAAAAATATGCTAGTGCGAGTTAGTGAAAGTCTGGATTTCCACACTCCTGCTGTTCGCTGACTGTCACCTGAAGGGAGCCAGTGAGAACGTTGAAAAAAACCAAGCACTGTTCTTCAGCAAAAGGGCAGAACTGAGCCCTTGACTCTGCGTAACAACACTGTGCACACCAAGCTCTGCTACATGGCATTTTCACCCATACGTGAACATTCAAATCCAATGTAAATCTCACATTTACTTGTACTAGAAGCTTTACAGTGCTGCAAAAACATTTCAAATATTTCTAATCCTCTTAGGAGGCATAGAAGATTTCAAGGTAGATTATGTTTCCCCACTATCAAACCTACTTAATTTTAAGCTTAAAGACTCTGGTTTTCTTCACCTCTTTGTTAACCAGAAAGCAAATCTAGTACCTGTACGAAACAAGTAAATATAGGAGAAACTAAAGATTGATTGTTTGGTGACAAAGGCATCATTTTTTGCTGTTTAGGGATCTGATACGTGGAGACAAAATGTTCCAAGAAAATACCCAAAGACGTGACTACTCCTAAAGCAGTAAAATGAGAAAGGTAAGACTACACGGCCTCCAGGACAAGGGTTATCTCTGTGTCATATGTTTGTGTGCCACCTAACACACACAGTCTCAACAGGGAACCACAAACTGTATCATGATGAAATCACTAAGCAGTTACAGTCTTAGAAGTGAAAAAACACCAACCAGGTCAACCAGTCCACTCCTCAGACTCTGCCAGTCTGCTCCCAGTTGTGCACTATAAGGGATTAAATGCCAGTACCTTGAAATACATAAGCAAAGTAACCATGCAATGAATATACAGTTTCAGAGCGAGTACCACAGAAATACTACAGGTGCAAATGCTCTCACAAGAGCTCTGTCCATCTGCTCTGACCTGCTTCTTAAGCTTTCCCCAAGACAAATGATTGTGCCAGTTTGCACAACGATTTTGTGACATGGACGGTCACAGTAGGAAAAAAGTCTATTTTTAGATCTCATCCTCCATCTGCTCACACGCAATTTTGCTTAGATATCAAGCCTCTGTTTGCAGTACACACTGAGTCTTACTAACCTCATCTCATCTGGAGCCCAAGGTAGTTCTGGAAAACATCTTTATAAGCAAATGGCTAGGAAAATAATGTGTTGTGCTGTTCAAAACAAGACTTTACATGTGATCCTAGAAAAAGCTTTATTAGTGGATATAGTAAGCTAATATGTTTATAAAGAGTCACATGTAACTCACCCCATGAACATAAGCAGCTGGCTTTTACAGACAATGGAGAGCCTTCATTCTAGTGAAATAATGAAAACCTTTAATACCACCACCTATGAGCTCCCAAATACAGCCACTTCACACTCACAGATACCGCTGGCTCCTCCAGGAATCTCAGTTCATTTACCTTGCAGAAAGGAGCATGGCAAATGTAGAGCGTCATAAGGTTGCTAATCCACACGCAACACTGACAAGCCAGCTCAGACTTGCAAAGAAACATGAAATACTCCGTATGGTATGGAGTGGCTCACAATCCACGCTGTCCAGTTAACCCCACAAATAACCAGAGAAACAAGCAATACATTTTAAGCATGACTGATATTTGGGTACTTTTATTTTAGGGTGAACAAGTGCTGAACCCTGACAGTAAAAAAAAAAAAAAAAAATTAAATACCTTCAAAAGGTATTAAGATGGGCACCCTAAAACTCAGGCCGTTTTTGGAAACCAAGGCCAGTGTAGATGTTTTCTCCCTTCAAGTCACAAGAGAACACAGCAATCAGGTTTCTGAGTAATCGAATGCAAACTTACAGAAAATATCGGGACATATTTAATGTCTCACCTTTACATTCCTCACCAGTCAGACACGTAGAAACATGAAATAAAAGACAGTGTGATTCATGGGAAAACCCAAACAAACGATCTGCTGTTGAACGGGAGTATGCTTCAGACTCTTACCACTGCAGCACAGCCATGCCACTCACTAACAGCTACAAGAGCAGTACAGACACTGCAAGCTCTCCTTTTGTGGACACTAGCATTTTATTATATCTAGACAATAACCTTGCCTTCCAAATGCACCTTGTATAAGAACTTCTACCCCCCTAAACAGACCTCCTGCTAACATATCATACAAAACCCCTGCAGTAACTACAATCACATCCTGCTTGGTAGATCATCAGCAAAGCATTTAGGACATACCTGTGACCAGGTTAGCAGCGTAAATTATGAGGAGGGAGTCCCCGTCGTGCAGGCAGCTTCCTAATTTTGCCACCAACAGACATACTTGTCATTTTTGTAAAGGATCAGAAGGGGGACAGGCAGGTGCAATCAAACTTTTTTTTGCATTTAAGGACTCATGGCACAGGTCTAGCAAAACCACTAATTTAATCCTGAGCTTCTACAAATTCCTGAGCTAAACTGCTCCTGTCAAAAGCTCTCTGCGAGATTCCAGCTCCATTTGTTTGGAGTGATGTCCACTACATTATGCTGTCAAACATCAGACCACAGTCAACGCTTCAGACACATTGGATTAGGTCCAGCAGAGACACATGCTGGTACGGGAAGCACTGACAGAAGCTGCAAGTTTGCCTGAGTAACACAGTTACTTTGGGAAAAGGTCACCATCTCTCTCACTCCACCAAAACACCTAGAGTTTCTTCACTAAAAACCAGTATTTCTACCATAATTAAACAATCCCTAAGTGAGAGATACAATTTAATCAAAATTAAAGGGAAAAAATGGCAAACAAAAAACCCTGCCCCCATTCAAATCACACGTAGTAGTAAACAGTGCACGTATTAAAAACTACAAAAAACAGCAGCATAATGGCAGATCGGGACTGATTGGTACGTCTTTGCTTACTACTTCTAGTAGTATCAAGATAGTTAATCTATTTGATTAATCTCCCACCACTACAACTCCTATCCTTCTGATGATATGGCAATTTGAAAGAAACCTCACTTGCACTTTCATAAACATACGAAGTCTTCATGGGAACCACAGACTCAACATAAAAAAGGAAGTTCCTTTTAAGAAAGATGTCATTTGAAGAAAGCATGCAACATCTCTACAGATCCGCAGTGTTACATTCACATCTACTCCATCTTCAGAAGTAACAAAAAAGAAGTTGTTACCTGGAGCATCAGTTCACAGTCATCTCTGCCAACAAATATCATCTCCCGAGGGAGCCGATGGCGAATGCCAGTGCTGCTCACCAAGAACCACGAAGTCACGCTCATTTTGGCGCTTGGCACTTAATCTTTATACATCCTAAATACAAAAAAAACACGAGACATGGTGAGCTAATAACAAAGCGTGGAAGTACACCAGTGCATAGCTGCAGTTCCCAAATTTCCCTGTGACACAGGACCCAGCGCTGCCTCTTTTGCATTTTGTGTACATGTCTTAAATTTCTCGTGGCAACAAGCAGTTGTGAAACGCGTGCCAAGAGCTGCTGCCTATGTGCCATGTGTAGGAGCTCTGCAACCCTGCAAGTATTCCCACAGCAAAGTAAGACTGAAGGTCTGATGAAAGGGTTGTTTAAAAAATGAAGCGCGCAGCTGAATCCAATCAATGAAATGATGAAATATGGTGGAGGGAAAAAAAAAAAAAAAAAGACCTCTTTTCCAGAACATTTCCTCATCGCTATCACTGTGCACGAATCACAGCTTGAGCTTTCCCCATCATCAAAGATCTGGACCAGCACATCAGTAAGGTGATATAACCTGGTTCCTCTAACCTTTCTCGGTACACTCCCAGGAATGGTTACACAGGGGCTGGGCAGGAGAACAGCCTCCCTGCTGCCCTCCTGGCCACGGCCCGGCAGCCTGGCCCTGCGGCCTCTCCCTCTCCCCCAGCACCGCGTTTTCCTCTCCCCGGCTAAAGGAAAATAAAGCGGCACGCACTGGGCTGCTGCCTTCCCCTCACCCACCTCCCGGGATCGAAGTTGCATTCCTAACTGCACCGAGGGAAGAAGAGCTCCATTTTATCTGGGCTGCCGCTGCGCTCCCCGGCCTGACCGCCGGCCTCCCCCTCCCCGGCGGCCCCGCGAAGCGCAGGTGACAGCGGCGGGGAGGATGAAGGGCCTCCCCCGGCAAGGCGCAGGCCTGGGGCGGGGAAGGACGGACAGACGGGGGGAACCCGCCGCCGCGGAGGCGCAGAACCGCTCCGGGAGCCGGCGGTGCGCGCTGCCGTCCCCGTGTCGCGACACGCGAGAGGCCCTGCCGGGGAAACGCCGCCTCCCCGACTAAAGCGCCGGGGGAGGGGAGCCGGGCGCCGGGCGGCCGAACCCCGCGGCCGCCTCGCACCGCCCGGAGCCGGGCTGCAGCGCGGCCCCCCTCCCCGGGCCGGGCCGGGCCGGGCCGCGCTCGCTGCCGAGGGGAGGGCGGGCAGCCCCGGGCCGCAGCACCGCCGAGGGGCCGCGGCAGCGGGCCAGGTGCGGCGCGGGGTTCCCCTCCACCTCAAACCGGGCGAGCCCGGCCCTTTGTCCGCCCGAGCGCCCGGCTCCCCGCCGCCCATCCCCGGCCCCCCCCGCGCCCGCCCTACCTGCTGCGGCCCTGGGCGCGGTGGCAGGCCGGGCGCCGCGCCCCGCCAGCCGGCTCTGCCTGCCCCGCGGGCCGCTCCCGGCGCCCGCCCCGCCCCGCCCCCGCCGCGGCAGGTTCCCGACGTCAGGAGGCGGCTCCAGCCGCCGGGACCGGCCGCGGCCCCGCCGCCCCTCGCCGCTCCTGCCCGGGCGCATCGGGCCCCCCCCCCGCCTCCTGAACGGGAGGTGTGAGAGGGGCTGGCGGGGTTTCCCCGTCACGGCTCCTCGGTGCGGTAGCAGCCGCGCCCGGGGGCCGCGTCCCTCATGCGAGGCTCGCCGAACGCCGGCCGGAGCCTCACCCCCCTCTCTGGCCTGGGTGCGGCCGGCCCTGACCTCGGGAGGGGCCCGACAGGGACACTCGAGGCCGTGGGACAGGCCGCCACCCAGCGCTACTCCCACCCGTGTCACCAGCCTCTTCTTCCTCCCGCTCCACCGGGAGTAGGCTGGCACCCACCCACCTCCACATGCACCCCTCGGGCCCTCTCGCAGGGCACTACCTCAAGGCGGTTGACAGGAGTGAATTAATCGCGAGGATCTGACCGTGGAACAAGAGCCCGAGATGGGTGCTGTGAAAGGGCGTGCCATTGTATGGGTTCTTGTCAGTTGTAGGCAACTAGAAAATTTCTGAAAAGCAGTAAGTGCAGAGAGCAATGACCACTTTTTTTTTTTTTTTTTTTTTTTTCCCATCAGGAGGAAGGCTGAGTATCAAGGTAATGGATCCAACTTCTTGCCCATGCAAAAGCTGTTTCAGGAGAGCCCCAGCTGCTGCAGAACTCATTGGAGCTGTGAACAGCACCAGCTTTACACTGGTTCTCTGGCTCCAGCTGGCACAAGCTGCTAAGGAAAGACCATAGGAAGACAGCAAGTTCATAACGATGTTTCCCCAGGCTCGTATTCCAGCTGGAAAGGCGTCTTTGCATTTATACACTGTATGTTTGGTTTTGAGTATTATTTCTCAGTCACTTGCAGGAGCTTCCCTTGGTGTCTTTAGTGCCGTCCTTAAGGATTTTGAAGCAGGATGTAACCTTAATAGATGGCACGGAAACCACAGGTCTGGTACGCCACTTGCTGGGAGCAGTCCTACAGCAGCATCACTCCGCAGGCTTACTCCTGGTCTACAGCCTTACTGCAAGGCTGAGCAGCCAGGGAGGGCGAAGCGAGCTGCAGCAGGACCACAAGGAAGGAAGGAAACAGCATTTTTTCTTTTGCCTCCTCTTTCTGAAGAGCAGTGCGACTTTGTTATTGCTTAATTAACAGCGTTATTGCCTTCTTTAATCAACATTTGACTTCTTCCCTGGCAAATACATCATGCTGCAGGGTGATTTCAAGGTATGATTATCTTTAAAGGCTTCAAAGCCGGCTGAGGCTGCAGCATCTGTGTTTTATTGGAGTGCTCTCGGTATCTCCTCGGAGCGGAGCACCACGCCCTGGCAGCATGCCGTGGCCCTTGGACGCCAGGCAGGAGGATGGAGTGAGCAGCTACTTCCGGGGCGCTTCAAAGGCTCCTGCACTGAGCGCTGCCATAAAGTCATAGGGATCCTTTATAAATAAAACTGGACTTTCACCGTATTTGCCAGTTCGTCCTGTCATTGAGTGACGTTTTATTATTGATTTAACTGACCTATAGCTTAAGTTTTTACAAGTATTATTCATTTCTCTCTAAACCACATCTATTTACTGAAGAGGCTGCTCTGTGAGCTGGTCTGTAGAGCATTTCTATACTGCTGTAAGGAAGAACGATAATTTACTTCTTTATACAAGCCTGCCATCTAGGCAAATCTTTGTTATAAGTTACTATAAAAAGGTTACTGTTTGCTTTAGTCTCTCTTTAGGCCCGGTTTTACTGTTCATTTATACATGTGTATTTATCTGAGCAGTCAGTACTTCACTATTTATAGAGAAGAAAAATAGTTCCTGTTCCCACCATGTGTTTGACCTGATTGAAGATGTGATTGAGGCCAATCCACTGGGCCTGGCTGAATGCTGCGTTACAGCCGCTTTATTTTATTTCAGTGATTTAAAGGGACTAAAAAAGCTAGTAAGTGGAGTCCTTCCTTCTCCTTTCTCTTCACCCCTCCCAAAGCAGTGTGTGAGCGCAGGGGGCTGCAGAATTGCCTGGTGCTACACTGCTATCTATAAATCCCAGGCAGAGAATGTGTCTGTGGGGAAAAAAAGCTGTTGCACTGGTATACTTTGATTTTTACATTTTTTTCCTATTGGAACCAGCCTCGTTGGCAGCCATTGCAACCCTTGGGCTGCTCAAACACACAAGCTGACCAAACACACAACTGCCTTTGAAAATATGATACTACACAAGTGTCTTAAAACCATCTCTTCCCACAGGGAGAAGGGAAAGCCTGGGAAAGACCTCAAGAAGTCGAGTGCAGCAGCAGCACAATGCAGCTTACGCTAAATTTGCAACAGAAGGAGCTTACAATGCAAATCTCTCCACGTTTATCTACAGCACTGTCACCTTCAGCTACAAGGGACATGCCCACGGCTGTATCAACCTGCACGACTCAGGTGGTGGGAAGTTCACTGTACTGTATTGTGCAGAGACAGAGTAAGGACCAGTCCCTGTCCCAAAGCACTCATATTCCCAGTAAACAAGGACATTAAAGGTGAGATAAAATGTCCAGCCAGAAGAGTGACAGCAGGTCACAGGGCTATAGGAAAGCCAGATTTCTGGATCCAGAGCCATTGAATCAGGTTGTCTGCTCTACTGAAATACCTTTTGTCTGACACCCTGAACCCACAGCTATCACAACTTGGAGCAGAACCACTTCAGGTCCCTTCTTCAAAACAGAGAACCCACCATCCCGCAGAGGAGCTGAACTAAATCAAGCTTTTTATGCCAGGCTCTGATGTAAGGGAGATTTTTGACAGAGATCCCAAACATGAACCGTCTTGCTGCATCATCCTGCAGAGGAGGCTTCTGTTCCAAGTTGATCATAGCCTGATCCAAATAACCTGTGTGGCTTCCCCCCTGAAGGGCAGTCTTCCCCACACATGAGCTGAGGGAAAGAAATAGTTTTGGTTACTGCTCAGATATTGACATGATGGGTAGCTTATAAGTAAAGGTGTGCCAGACTCTGGGTGAACTCTGCCCAGTTAACCCATCACAGGCTGAGTGAAATCTGGTGTACGCAGCTGCATGCACATATTCACAGGCACGTATGCAGCTCATGAATTCCCGGCTGCTTTGCATCAAAGAGACTGTAGAAGTAGTTATCAGGCGCTGTTCCCCAAGAGTTATTTCATTTGCTCTTTGCTAGCTTACTTTGAGATGCATCGGGAGAGGTTCACAAGTAGGTCATGCAGGGTTTCTTAACCCCCTTCTCCACTCAGATGGATTCTGCTCCCTAGTGATGACTTTCTTTTCCAGAAAGCCAAAACTGCAGCCAGGCCTGTTCTTCAGGCCCCGCTGCAGGGAGCTGTGCACTCCTGGTGTTGTGCCTGCAGTGTTCTCACTTTGGATCAGGATTTCTGCCTTTATTTTAATGTGAGCAGGAAGGATCTGTGGACTTTTGCAAGAGGACACTACAGGTCTGAACCTGTGTCCTTGGTGCTGTTGCCTGCCAACAGAAAGTACAGGATCGAGCCCTTTCCCATAGAGCCTGGGACCAAAGCTTTTCATCACTGGTTCTGGGCGTCAGCGTGAGCTGGATCATCATAAAATGCAAATAATCCCCCTCCTGAATATGCACTTTTTAAGTGCCATTTTGCAAATCTTTCCCTTGATTTTTTTTTTTGTTTCTTGTTGGCTGATTTTTAAATGACTAGGTATTTGTCAGGAGTATGGATGTTTATCTTAATTTTAGTTAGACTGCTGTAACAATACTGCTGAACTGAGTTTGGACCAGCAAAAGCAATCTGCCTTTCCTCTCTGTCTAAACATCAATCCTTTGCTCTGCCCAATATCTCCATTGTGCTGGTTGCCAACATTCCTGTCTCCTGTACAGCCGGGAACAGGCCCCAATCCTGCCTAGTCAACTGGAAAACAATAAGACCATTCATGTGCATAGTTATTCACTGGCATAAATGTTTGCAGAGATACAGTCTGACTGGGACAGGCCTCTGTCATTTGGATGGTTCTACGAGATGGCTTTTTACAATACTAGTATTTTTAACCCATTAATTAACCAGCTATAGGGACAGATTCTTAGCTGGAGCTTGGTAGCACTGCGGAAAATGGCTTCAGTTTGGCATCCTTGTTTTATAGCAGCTGGAGAATTTTTCCTGTATTTTTACCCACAACATAGTCCTACGTACCAACGTAACATTCAATTTTACTACTATGGAATCTACTAAAATAAAACCCTATATGCATTAACACTCCTTTTCAGAATGTGCAATATGGCCTTCTCCAGTCATCCTCTTTTATTCCCCTGCTATGCCACAAAAATTATTTTCTTTTTATTATGTAGCCAAAATCATACAGCTATTTTTAATTTATGACCCTCATAACTCGGGGAGGGGGGCAGGAAGAAATATCAGTGCAATAAAAGAGTGGAGCTGGTGTAGTGTGAACATTGTCAGAATGTCTCATCTAGGATTTGTGTGGCATAAAACTTTGCTGAAAGAATTAAAAACATACGCTTAACTGATCTCATTTTTGGCATTTTTAATTAGTAAAAGCACAGCAATGATGCTGTCGTGCTGTCTGATGAGATTAGGTCAGATGATACATGGTTGTATGGTGTGGCATCTTAAATAGGAATCACCTTATGGCAAGTCGAAGCCATTTCGATATCACATTTAAAGAAATAGCTTCTCAGGGAAAGTTGATTGGTTTCATAAGAGAAGCAGCAGGGTTTTGAGGACTCCTGTGTGGGAGAATGGGAACAACGGGCAGCTTGAGTTCGTCTCTATTTCAGTTTTTTTCCTCTTATTCATTCAATTAATTTTCATGTATGTGCATATTTCTTATGAGAAAGGTCGCAAACCTACTTAAACAGAAAAATAATTTCACATGGCCTGGAGAATCCAATGCAACGTGCGTGGCCAGAGGGCTGTACTTTGCCCTCTGAACCACAAGCAAACTCCTTTTCCTGTTCCTCTGTGAT